TGAGATGACGATGAAGATGACGTTGACGATGATAATGTGATATAAAATGGCTACGACGATGAAGATGAAGATGATGACGACAATGAAGTTGATGAAGACGACGAGGATGAAGATTATGACGATGAAACTGAAGATGACGACGACGATCATGAAGAAGATGACGACGATAATGATGACAATAACGATGGTGGCGATGATGCAATAATAAATTAATGACCACTATAAAACTGTCACTCTCTGACGGCAGCTAATCGTAGTTTAGTAGAAAACATGTCATTCGTCGTAACATTTTCCTACTGTCGCCGCTACTGCTGCTGCTGCTGCTGCTGCTGCTGCTGATGTGGTTGATGTTGTTGCTACTGATGGTGGTGTGGTTGGTGTGGTTGCTACAGATGGTGGTGTGGTTGAGGTTGTTGCTACTGATGATGATGTGGTTGATGTTGTTGCTACAGATGATGGTGTGGTTGATGTTGTTGCTACTGATGGTGGTGTGGTTGATATTGTTGCTACTGATACAGATGTGGCTGGTTTGGTTACTACTGCTGGTGTGGCGAGCGATGATGATGATGATGATGATGATGGTAATGTAATGATGGCGACGATTGAGATGATGACGATGATGATCTTAACGATGAAGATTGTTGAAATAGCGTCATCATAACAAATGAAGATTTTTTATTTTATTTTTTTTAAATTTTGATGCATGCATGAATCGTCGTCAGATGGCTGCAACTGTAAATCATTCCAAACTGATGATGACAATTGAAATTAATTGACAAATTGGAATGTATGGAAAAAACATTTAGATAAAATTAGCCATACAAACACATTTACTAATGCTCTAATATACTATATATGCAGAGCAGACGCTAACAAACACATTAAATCAATCATTGTCCTTCTATTTGTGTGCGCGCATATGTACGTGCGAACCTGTGAGTGAGTCTGTACGTGAGTGATTGTGCGTGTTTGTTTTTGCGTGTTTGCGTGTCAGTCAGTTTGTTTGTATGTTAGTGAATGCTTATGTACGTGTTTGATGTTCGTACAGTTTTATGTACGTGTATAGTATATATTATTTATATATATGTAGATCAATGTATGTAGTGTACATAAATAAATGTTTGTGTGTGCACGTGTGAATGCTTTTTGAATGCCTTCGTATGTGTTTGCATGCGCATGTGCGTAGATGTGTGCATTGTGGATCTGGATGTATATGTGTATGTGTATGAATGTGCCGTGTGTGTTTTGGGACACGATTGTTTGTGATTTGGTGTATGTGTGTTTAGATGTGTTTATTGTGTGCATGTATGTATGTGTTTGTGATGTACGTGTATGCGTGTGTGTACGTGTGCGTGTGTGTACGTGTGCGTGCGATGCACTGACTGTTCTGAGAATGGAATAAGGAAATGAATGTAAACATCAAAGGCAGCCATTGTGCATTATTTTAATGCTCCTTCTTTAATTGTTTTGACGAAGACGATGATGAAGATGATGATGAGGAAGATGGTGATGATGATGATGATGATGATGGTGATGATGATGATGAGGAGGAGGATATTGGTGATGATGATGGTGGTGATGGTAAATAAGAGGATGACGATGATGATAATGAGGTTTAAGAGAGACGACGTCAAATACATACATAAACTTTTTAAAGATAAAATAATATTATTTATTAGACAAACATACAAAGTGATGAGTCAGTTTGTGAATGAGTGAATGAATGAGTAAATGAGTGACCACCAAACAAGTGGGTGAACGAGTAAGTGGGTGAGTGAACAACTGGATATAGGAACGAATCAGTTAATGAACAAACGAATGTTTATAAAGTGCATATGAACAGAGTGAGCAAATGGATTTATGTATAAATAAAGGAATGAATGGATAATTTAACAAATGAAAAATTTGAAAATAAAAACATTAAAAAATGAATGAATGAATGAATAAATGAATGGATTGATGAATGAATGAATGAATGTATGAATGAATGAATGAATGAATGGATTGATGAATGAATGAATGAATGAACAAACGAATGAATGAACGAATGAACGGTTGAATAGATAAATATGTAATACGAACAATATTTTTATACAATATTTTTATATTTTTTGATAAGATTGGAACTGCTTAGTTTTCTTTTGTTTACAATCAATGCCTCTCGCTCGCACCAAAAATCATAAATATCGTTAAACATTCTCTCTCCTCACTACAAACACCATTTCATTAGTAACTTCTAACAACACAAATCAACAACTAAACCATCAACCGGCAACAAAATTTAGTAACAATAACAACAACAAAAACCACCATCACAACAACATCAACAAAAACCACCATCACAACCGCAAAAACCACAACAACAACAACAACAACCACAACAACAACAACCACAACAACAACAACAAAACAATTTTTGTGGCTCATATTGACGGAGCATCGACTGATGCGTGTTTACCGATGGATTGAATGTTCAATTAACTTTCAAAGAATATTTATCGTCTGATCGATATAATGTATTTGTCTGCCTGCTAACATTCAAGCATACGTATCAGTTATGTTTATGTAAAAAAAATTAAAGTTGCATTCACACAAACACACATATACATGCACACACACTTTCAGACATACCCACATAAGTATACAATCACACATTTACACATACACACACACCACAAACACACATATGCATATACATGCACAATCACACATACACACATGTACATAAACACACATACATGCACAATCACACATACACACATATACACACACATAGAGCAGTCCATACACAATTTTTATCTCTCAGCTTTTGTATTTATTATAAGCAAAATGCAAAACCATAATAATGCATATCAGTTGTTTGTTGGGCCTTTACACAGGCACAAACAATTATTCCTGTTGTCATTCATTTGCTGGTGGTTCGCACAAACATCATGCAACATGTTCAGCTTAGTGTGTTTGCTTTGATGCTTGCTTTTGGTACAATCATTTATATTTGATACAATCATTAATGTTTGATACAATCATTTATGTTTGATACAATCATTTATGTTTGATACAATCATTTATGTTTGATACATTCATTTATGTTTGATACAATCATTTATGTCTGATACAATCATTTATGTTTGATACAATCATTTATGTTTGGTGCAATCATTTATGTTTGATACAATCATTTATGTTTGATACAATTATTTATGTTTGATACATTCATTTATGTTTGATACAATCATTTATGTTTGGTGCAATCATTTATGTTTGGTACAATCATTAATGTTT